AAAAAAAAAAAAAAAAAAAAAAAAAAAAAAAAAAAGTAACAACATACTTCTCCTGCTTTAAAACAGACAATCCCCACTCCTTAAAATTTCCTGAAAGAGCAGCTAGTGGAAATAACACAACTTTTACTGTGTCGCATCTGAAGCCTGGGCAATTTAGAGTAAACAGTAGGAAAGACAAATCTTAACTCAAGAAATCCAGTAAAACAAGAGAACAAGACACCAACAGAAGCTGCAAAAGCAGCATCACCAAGAGCATGCAAAGCTAGATTTGCAATTAAACAATCTAAGTTGGGTTGACAATATAATCAGCTTGGCTGCATCCACCAACAGACCAGTATTTGGCATTACCTGATCTCTCTCTCCTCTACCTCTGTTTAGTGTGATGAAGGGGACAGGCCACTGACCAAGGAGTCAGAAGGTGTGAAATAGCTTACCTCAGAGTGGCGATTTGGTCTGTATCAGGACCAAAGATAGGTAAACCTGAGCAAGTCACTTCCCCTCTAAGCTTCAGGCTCTCCAGCAGTACAACAGGTATACAAGAGCTTCCTCACTTTTGTAAAGCACATTGACACTGACGGTTGAAGCGCTATACAGAGTGCAGAGTGTTATTCCAATTCTTAGGGCTTATCTATATAATGAGACAAGCCAGCAGCAATTTCTGTTAATTGTCTGAAGCCTGTAGCTGACATTCCACTTGGGACATGATTAACCAGTTAATCACATCTTGAAAGTGTAAGTCAGCCACAGAGTCAGGTGATTAATGACACACTAAAACAGGAAACCAGCTAGGACCATGTGGCTGGTTTCCATCATGCCTTAAATTGAATGTGTGGCTAGTGGGGTCCCCAACAGCCAACAATCAGCTTATCGCCCACACATCCAGCTCTCCCCAGAGTGCTCCCAATCATCTGATGATTGGCAGATTAGAAGCATTCTGGGGCTCAGTCACAGAGTACCTCTAATCTGCAATCATCAGCTGATTGTCAACTGGCTCCGGGGCTCAAACTGGCTCCATGGGTCCTTGGAACCAGTTAAACAACCAGCTGATTGCCAGGCACCTTGCTGGTGTAGGGGGAGCCCAGGATGATAATCCCAGGTCCCCCCTGCACTCATAAATATGGCATTATTTGGACCTGATCTCCAGTCCCAAAATTGCACCTTTTACCATGCACATATGGTATGCATGGCAAGAGGCATGATTGTTGGGATTGCAGATTAGATCCCAATCACACCTTCAAACAACCTTTGTCAGTGGCCTAAGGTACATAAAGGTCTAGTCCTCTAAGGCTGGGATCAGAAAAGGAGGAGAGCTCAACTCAGGGTACCGAGAATGCTTCTGTCCTTACAGGCCCCTCGCTGCCATGAGGTATGAAGACAAGGCAAATGAACCATATTACAGAATTCCGTGAAAAAGAGTCTTGATGGCAAGAAAAGACAGCAAACAAACCAATTACATGCAGGAATAACTTTAATAATTCATATAACAGGACATATATGAAAAATTTCCTTTTATTATGAAACAAACATGTCTTTGGTAAAGAAATCACTTTTTCCCCCAAAATGTACGTATCCAGCAGAATCATGTGTTTGTCCCCTAGCTATAAGAATCCCTAACCATGTCAGAGGTTCGTTCTGGTCAGTATATTTCTGTTTAAATATTATTTTTCCTAGATGAGAACATATACATATTGTAGGCAAAATATGTGTTTGTTTCAGGCTAATGCATAATCTGAGAATATTTAAAAACCAACTATATGCTCACAGGGATAACAAAGATGAGTTTTGCTTCAGTACACACTCTGGCATTTTTGTTCTGTTTTGTAAACTTTTTTATTGTTGTTGCTCAAGGCCTAATGGTCAACATTTAATGCTGAGTTAAGTGTTTAAAAACAAAGAGACATGCACAAAACTTTCCTCTCGGGCCAACAGCTGGGATGTTCTGATTGAGTTTTCAGAGAACAGCTGTAGCAGGGACACCTTCAAGACATTTGTTCTTAGATTTCTAGCAGATGTCTATGCAAATATTCATTAAAAATAAAAGTCCATGCTCTGATGGCATCATGCAGTGATGTGAGTCCAGGGGAAGAGGGAGAAAAAAAAATCAAGGCAAATCACATAAGAGAACACTTGCCTTTCAGTTTATCCTTCTTTTTCTGCTGCTTTGATCTCTTTCCATCAACCTGAAGACTGACAGCTCTTCTCTTCTCCAGATTCAAGAGTTCTTGGAAGAGTTCCTGTACATTGTAGTTAGTTTTTGCTGAGGTCTCCATGAAGGAACACTTCCACTTGCTGGCCAAAGCTTCCCCTTCACTGGCATCCAGCTCCCTCTGGGTCTCATCGCTCTTGTTACCAACCAACATGATAGGGATCTTCTGAATATCCCCTTTGATCTGACAAATCTGATCGTAGATTGGCTGAAGTTCTTCCATGGACTGTCTGCTGGTGACAGAGTACACCAAGATGAAGGCATGTCCCTTGGATATAGATAGCCTCTGCATGGCAGGGAACTGATGGCTCCCTGTGGTGTCTGTGATCTGGAGGGTGCAGATGTTTTTATCGCAGCTGATTACCTGTCGGTATGTGTCTTCGATTGTAGGAATATACGTTTCCCTGAATGTTCCCCTTACAAAACGGAGGACCAAGGAGCTTTTACCAACCCCTGCAGCCCCAAACACAACCACTCGGTAATCATTGCTCTGCTCTGGCATAGTGTATCTTTTTCGGGGAGCCAAGCAAGGATGAAGATCTGAATTACAAATGCCCAGGTTCCGTTAGTTTACATACCCCCACACAGAGATGGCCTGCAAGAGACGGAAAAAAGACAAAGCAAAAAAAGACATCATTCACAGCATTTCATTAACTACACAACAGATGATTTCAATAGGCAATTAAATAAGACATTTCTTACTTTCTCTCTCCTGTATCAGACAGAACAAGGAGTCAGAGTCCCCTGGGCATGCATCTCATATGCAGCAAGTATCATATTAAGAGTGAAAACTGTAATTCACCTGCAGCCACCAGCTCCAATATCCGGAGAAACGAGATTAAAATCACCCATCAGTGCAGAGATCAGGCAGCCTCACTCATTAAAGTTCTTCCGTCCCCGAGCAACAGACAGCCCCGCAGCCCTTGGCTCCCCTGCAGCTAGTGCAAAGGCTCTTTGGAGTCTGTAGAGAGGCTCTGCTTAGCATTTGCTTTGGAATTGCCTCCTCCCAGCCACTGGGGAGCTCCGGCTGCCAGCAGCAAGCTCCCTCACTTCCCACCTTTAGCTGGATACATATCCTGGGGTTATTCATTTTCTTTCGATATAGCTTATGCACCCACCCACAGTAGGTGTCAAGGAGCAACAGGCAGCACCAACCAGCTTTCATTAACACTATACTCTCCCTAATGTTGGATGCAAAACAATGTACCAGGCTGTAGCATTTCACTAGCTAACATAATCAAGACTGCATACAGGCAGGAGAGTCAGGCTGCACTAGGGCTTCTACAGCTGGGGCTGCTCCATCGCTCCCCTTTTAGGAGCCTGTCAATTTTTGTACCCAAGCTCCCGCCCTGGCCAGTTGTGCCATCAGAACAGAAAAGAAGTCTGTCCCCTCAAAACCTGTCCTTCACCACAGACCAGCACAACAACCTCCAAGTCCGACACCTGGACTCCCTTGGATCTAGCTAGGTTTTGTCTCCTGCCTTTCAAATCCTATTGCATAAACAGAGATCAAAAGGAGAGGAGTCTGTGCACATGCACGCACACACATGCACGCACATACACATGCGCGCACACACCTTGAGGCACTACAAAGCAACAGCTTCACCAGCACCCAGGACGATCCCTTGGACTCCCCTGGACCCAGGCCAACTTAGCCCTAACTCTGTAAGTCCCACTACCCGAGGACATCCAGCTTCCACATCTAGCAGGAGCTTTCTCCTTGGGATTTATCCTGATGGGACTGTATTAACCGATAGACAAACTAAGTCTGTAGACCTATAAACATAGCCATTAAAAGGGAAAGTCCTACAGCTTTTACCCAGTTCCCAGTAGAGCTACAAGCCCTGCCTTTTTTATTTTTTAGAATGGGCTGGAAACTCAACCAGGAACTGAATGGGCTTTGATGCTTCAGAACAGGCTGCTGTGGAAATACTACCCATAGCCTTTAGGGAGGGGAGGCACAGAGGTGCACGCTGTATGTTGGACAGATCTGCGTGACCCCCCCGATCAGAGGATCCTTTCCAACTCTCCGCTAGGCACGGTGTTAGGAGACAGGGAACCAGTCGGTAGTATGGTTACGGCACCTGTTGGCGCGCCCTGGAGAACAGGGTGCTGGTCTGAGACTCAGGCTCTGCCACTGAATGGTTGAGTAATTTCAGTCAAGTCTGTGCTGCTCTTTATTCCTCACTTTCCCTATGTGTAAATTGGGTCTGATGATACCGACCTCCTTGACATACACCGAGATCTACTAGTAGAAGTGCTACATAGCAGCAGTCTTACAGATGTGCAAAACGGGCATTTCTACCTTTTTGGCCACCCTGTTGCACCAGGATAGGTAGGGATCCAGATTATTCTGGTGATGAAAAGGAGGCTGCACACTGTAAACAGTAAGATTAGGGAAACGGGCAGCTATATGTTCTAGTATTAGCCAGAGAGAGAGGCCAAGTCAGGGGTGGGACCAGCTTTCTTGGCCTAGGGCAGAGCAAGGAGGGGGGGAGGGGGGTGCAGTGGTACATTTGCACCCCCGTTTGATTCCTGGTCCCCCCAAACCTTGCCCAGGACAGACAGCATCACTTCTACTCGGGCAGTCTGAGTGCCTCAATGGATTCGTGGGTCATCACCATGTCCCCGATCCACGTCCATCGCCCTCCACTCCACAGGTGGGAACCCCCCTCTCTCCCTGTGAACAGTCCCGACGCGTCTCTGTTCAAACGAGCCTTTATCCTGCAAGGCTGGCGTCTTGACTAGGACACAGACAGGAGGAGGAACAGCCCTGCAGACTGCCTGTACCTCGACCTGAGCTGGGATGCGACCACCCCCGGCGTAGCAGCGCCTGGCGGGGGCCCTGGGGGCGCTCCAGGCGGCTGAAGACGAGCCGGGCATCCAGCCCGAAGGAGCGCGGGGGTCGGGACACAGCCCTCGGCTGCCTCCTCCAACCCTGACGAGCGCACGCTGCGGCTGCCCTACCTGCTGCTCTGCCCGGCTCCCGCCCGCCCCGAGCCCGGCGCGGCGCTCTGCTCCGCTCTGCAGCGCCCCCCGCCGGCCCG